CTGACGAACTAGGGAGCGATTTGGCTGCCAGTGCCTTCCTAGTTCCTATGCGATTCATTCCAATTCCAACTCCAACTGGGAGTCGGGAGCTGACGAACTAAAAGAGCGAACTAGTTCGTTTAGGAGCGGCGAACTGATCTGAGTAATCTTAGTCGTGAACTATTAAGCACAAGACTAACACAAAGCGATACTATATAAAAGGCAGTGCCTCGGTAGCGCGCTCCATGTTAGCTTGTAGTAGGTCAGTGTCTGCCAGGAATCGATGACTCCACTCTCAGATATAGTATTGTAGTCTTTGGACTCCACTTCCCTCCGCGCGCGCGCACGGTGCAGTGGTGTTTTTTATCGCTGTTCTATTATTATTGTTTTTTTGCTGTTTATGTGATCTGTTCCGGCTCGTGTGGCGTTTTTGTTGTATTCCCTGTGTCTGAGTGTGGTGTACGTAGGTAATTAACGGGATTAATCCACTTATTAAAATAATATTCATCACATTTTCGGTAAGTCAATTTATTTCTTTTGTTGCGGGTAGCGGATTATAAATTCGTGTGATTCATATATATTCTTTCGAGAGAATTTAAAGATAAGAACTAAATTCATTACACAATGGCATCGCGAAGTGACCCACCGGATCGCGGTGGGTTCCGTAAAAGTCAGATGACTCCGCGGTCGCCACCCTCCACTAGCTCGAAGCGACTTTTTAGTGAAATGTCGCCTGCGTACGCGACGCCTGATGATGACAGGTCAAACCGTCTCCAATGTGGTTCGCCGATTCCATCCCCATCCGCATCTAGTAATAGTGATGCCGACCATGTATAATTAATGACCGAGGCATCGACGTTGCTGTCCAAAATTAATGAGGTCGTGATTGAGTCCCGCGGTCCCGCCTGACCACATCAAGTAAATCGATCATTATGGAACTGACTCAGCCAGTCACCGGTATTGTCGCGATACTAGCGGTAAAGTCCTCTTGCTCCGAAACTAAAGTGTCAAACACGGAGCGCGAATTGGAAAGAATGAAATCGTCACCCTCACTTCTCCAAACTAGCCAAGTAGTAAACAACCAGGACAATAAAGTGTCATACGCCAAAAAATTGAAACTTCGCCTACCCAAGGTCGTGCCCGCGATGGAATCCTCCCGCGCGCCGCTTCCGTGTGTTGTCGCCTACCCCACTTCCGAGCGCTCAACTGACTTTGCATCATCGTCGGCGACTAAGCAAGCGCTCATGAAAGCCATCAAACCATGCGATGACGGTTTCCAAATCGTAGGGGTGAAGAAAACAGCAAAGTCGGGTGTCGTACTGCGTGTTGCTAACGAACAACAAATTAAGAAACTCGAGTCCGTGTCTGCGATTCGTTCTGCCGGTTTGCGTTTGGAAAAACCAAAGGGCCGTAGTAGACCGCGTATCTTGGTCAAAGACGTCCCAGGTTCGATGGAGGACAACGCGTTTTTGACCTCATTATATCGGCAAAATATTAACGGCGAACTCAAAATCAAAGAGGAGGATTTTATCAAGTCATGTAAAATTACCCGCCTACGTTCTCTGCAAAATGGTCGTAAACGGAGGTATTGAAATCGATACTAGCGTACGGAAACATCTCGTGTCAACTAAAGAGAAATTGTTTATTGATTGGGCTACCTGCCGTTTTATCGATGACGTCGAGGTAGTCAGGTACCATCTGTGTCAGTAGTTCGGATACGTAAGAAAGCATTGTGTTGCAAAGACACCTACTTGCGGTAATTGCGCCGAAGCGCACGACAACTGCCCTCATATAAAGGAAACAAATTTTATTCCTACTTGCGTGGCGTGTAAACGTTTTAAGAAACCTCATGATCACCGTTGTGGCTCGCCAGAGTGTGGTACTTATAAAACAAAACTTGAACAACTTATTCTCAATACAACCTATTAAATAATAGTATGGATAAGCTAACCATAGGGCAGTTGAATCTCCATAACGATAGGGTTGCGACGTCTGAGTTAGATAAATTAATTGTTGATTATCAACTTGACATAGTACTTATTCAAGAACAATATCAAAATACCCACTTACGGCACAGGGTAGTGCAGCTGGATGGCAGGTCGCGGGCTGGAATTTATGTCACGAGATCACCTAACTTCACAGTAACATCTATAAGTAATTTAATGACGTAGCACTGTGCCGTCGCGGAGATTGCTTCGGGAAATTGTAAATTGTACGTTGCGTTGTGAGCTGTTACTTTCAATATTCTGACTCAGTTACTCCTCATATTCATCACCTCCGTCACGTCTTGCAATCACTTGCGGGCTCCAAAATTATCATTGGTGCTGACGTTAACGCGTCTTCATCCTTGTGGTACGGCAAGATCAGGGCTACTGACATGGAACGGCGCTGTGCTGTTGAAGATTTCATTGCCGAAATGAATCTCTCCATTCATAACACCCCTGATGCACCACCTACTTTTTGCAGCCAAATGGGCGAATCTTGTATTGACGTCACACTTTCTAGTGCGGACGTTAGCTTGGATAGGTGGCGTGTCCTACCAGATGCGTCGTGTAGTGATCATCGCCTGATCGTGTACGAGTTTGTTTCAACATTACCCCAGGGTCCAACATATTGCAATGATAGTTTTAGGTACAAGACTAAGGGCGCGGACTGGAACTTTTTTAGTTCATTATTTGCATCTCAAGCCAAAGATTTTACTCGCAGAGATCTCTCGGCCGAGGAGGGTGCTGAAATCATGTCAGCTTTTGTTCTCATTTAAACTTATTGATTCACCATGGTGCCAATGTTCGACAGTGGAGTTGCAATACGAGCAGTCGGCCCATCACATACTCTGGGAGTGTGATCTCTGGCAATATGAACGTAACACTATGTTGAATAATTTAATTGTTTCGTCAAGTGTAGCTTATTATACGGACCTTGTGGAATCTAGAACAAATTTCCGTGCGTTTAGGCGCTTTTGCCATACCTATTATTGGAATCAAGTATAACAGCTCACACATAGGACCCACTTAGTTTTTTAGTCAAATTTCCGTGGTGCTTGGCGACTGAGCTTCACCCAGTTGTATAGTCTCTTCTTTGTGCCTTTAGGCTTAATTCATTCTGTCTCCTACAGTGAATCCTGCAGTAATTCACCGAGGGAAGTGGAAACTATAGTTTTTTCTTATTCTCCTCTTATAATATCTTCTGATTCATTTCGTTGCGGGAACCAAGACAGTTACTCATGTCCCTGAGACGCGCCGGACTTCAGTGTTCCGGTGTTTTCATGGTTGTATCTACTGTAGATCCTGGCTTACAGGAGTTGCAGCGGTTTTGGGAGGTTGTGGCGGGCTTGTCCCATAAAAAAAAGGTCAGTGTCTGCCAGGAATCGATGACGTGGTTAACGAGCACTTCTTCCTTTAAGCAACCTATTCCGTCGGGACAAGAAAGCCACCCAGGTTGTGCCTCTGTAAAGACAGTCTTTGTGGCATCGACGCAGCGCAAGGAGATTTGTAAGCGAAGACCGCGCGGATTGACGGTGTATTGGCGAACTATCGTTTGCACACCGCTCAACACCCCACTGCTAATAATATCTTTATAGATTTGTTAGCGTATTGATGTCTTCGACAAATACAATGTGAAGTATTCTCTCATTTACATATTCAGTACAAAATTTACTTTTGTGTAAGACAAATTGAAACAACATACTTTGACAAAAATAATATAATTATTTAATATTATTTATAATAACTTTAAGCAATTGTTACAAACACCTTTTGGCCATTGAATACCATACTATTAGGAAAGGGGCCCATAACCCAATACCATAGACGAATGCGAAGAATATAGTCGCTACATACCTGAAAAAGAGAAAGTACTTATAGTTAGAATAGGTATCTCAAAATATGCATTGACGGTAGAGTAAAATATTCGTCAGTTGTCTGATTCTGGAGTTGCGAGTGTCCAAGGGCAGCGCTGATCGCTTACCATCAGGTGATATGTCTGCTCGTTTATGTCCTATTCCATAAAAAAACTGCTAAATCCATCCTTAAGATGACCCACTGACCCACCCCTCATCCCCCGGCTGCCGTACGAGCCGACTAAAATTTTACATTTTGTTTGTACAAAGACTGGCGGAAAAGCGCTCTTTGATACATTTGAACTTTTCACTTGCCAAGCGCTGAGCTTGCAGCAATCCGTCCTATGTCTGAGGAGGTTCACTGGCTCATAAAACATGCGTGCTGTCACGGGCTGTCGATTAGGTAGGTACCTAATCTCAATAGAGGGTAGGTAAACCAAGGGCTCACCGATTTAGTACTGAAAGTGGTAAATTATCAAATGGTTGAGGTGGTCCTTCCACGTGCGTTCTATGCTTTGGAATTGGTAAAGGCTGCAACTTTTTAAATAATCCCTTTGAGCGGGCGGTGGCTGCAATTAAAGAGCGAAAACGAATCATATTAGTAACTCGAGTTTGTATTATATGATTCCTTTGAAAATATTCCGAAAATTATAAACGAGACAAACGAGCACGAGTGATGACAAGTCTATGAATGTCACGCGACGTTCTAAATTATTAATTTAAAAATCGTAATAAACCTGTGTAAAAACAGCCAGATTTACTTAACAACTCGTTGAATTTTATTTTATTACCCCGCACCGTTTTACCGACTGCTTGCCGCTTGGCTTCTATTTATCGTAGCGTGATGTTTTATAGTTTATAGCATGTAGCCTGTCGTGAGACAGGCTACATGCTACACAAGGGCGTGTATGTGAATACACGCCTTTGTGTAGAACAGCTGATACAGTGACCACCAAGGTGAGCATAAAAGCTCTGTTTCATTGAAAAATTAATGATAGTGAGTCTATGGTTTAGTCTATGGAAAAACCTCATAGATGTTTTTAGCTGGAATGTCAAAGTCAAAATGACAGATTTGGACAAAAGTAACCTTACTTCTTCATCAATCCTGGAAATAGAAAAATGTCGTCTAATACTACTGCATAATTTACTATATAAATAAAAAATACATGCACATAACTTAAAAATGCTCTCAATTAAACGTTTGCCGGCGTTATCTGCATCTAAAATACAGCCAAAACAAAACTTTTTGGTGAGAAATACAGTTGTCGATAGGCACATAAATAAACAGTGCCAGGATGATTTAGTGAATTTGTGTAGATCGTTCTCTCTGTTGCACAGTTTAACCAGTAAATCTAGGAACCCGGTAAGTTTATCCTCTTGTCTAAAATATTATTAGTTAGGGTTATATCGACAAAGTTAACAGTCGAACATGAATTCTAAAGCATCAAATCAAATAATATTACCTAACTCTACGGATTTATTTATGTATCTTTCTGTGATATTAGACATACAAGTTATTCTAGTTAGGCTTGACAAGTTATTTATCTTATTAGAAACATTAAACGTACAAAAAATAACCTTTTACTATGTTCTACTGAATTAGAATTGATGCCAGAGAGAGTATTCTAAACGTTTCTCTAGTTAAAATACATAAATTTATCTTTGATCACATTTAATATAGAAGTAACATATCAGTAAGTGCTGTATGTATTTGAGATTTATCAAAATTGTCTGATGCAATGCAATATAATGTTGTGAAAAACTATGGCTATGAAAATATCAATGTTTTTATGATAATGCTATTAATCGATTTTCATTCAGTAAAATATATAGTTTATATTATTATGAGGTTTCATTATTAACTGCTTGAATGCCTGTATATGAGACACAATAGAAAATACATTGTGCTTCATGTGGGTTTACATTTAGACACACAACAGACTAATAAATAGTTTAATAATTATGTTTTTCTGCTTATGGTATTGTGTGATATCCTATTCTAGAGGTTCATGAGCGTCTAGAATCGCTTGCAACTAGTACACTAGTTGCTCGTCAAATAGCTACATGAGTAATTCCAGTTGTCTCCCATGAATATTTCTTTGAAAACAGTGTACGAGTCTTGGATAACATGAGCAAAACCACGCAAATGTCACAAAATGCATTTTTTACTAGGGTGCTCAAAATATTAGAAACTAAATGTCTTATAAGTTCATGTTGGACTCATTAAAATTGTGCTCATTGCAAATGATGGATACCCACAAACAGTGAGCTTGCTACTGACCTGTGCCTTTAGCCAAACGCCACTTTAGCGCTTGTCTACCGAGAGAGTAGAAAACTAAATGTATGGAAATGACACTGACAAGGTGTAAAAATTTGCATCAATTCCATATAATTCGGTTTTCTATTCTACATGTAGACAAGCGCTAAATGGCATTTGGCTACAGCTGCTGTATAGATAACTGTCTCTACCCAAGTAGTCACCGGTGACTGCATCCACTAACTCCATTATAGACCTTAATTCCAATGTTTAGAGACTACTTTTGTATTAACAAATTTAGGGAATTATTGTTCTGATATATCAACATATTAATTTATTTAATTCTTTCAGCAATTTCGCCAATTCAATGCTGAGTATAAGGCAGCTTGTGCTTTGATACAAAGGTCCAATTTACCCAGACTTAGTTCTATCTTCACCAACAATGTCCGCGGGTTCCGTACCAGTGCCACAGACAGACAAAACAAAAGAGATGACAAAGTGAGTAGTATTCAAATTCATAGAATATTTATTATTTTTAGCTACAAAAATTCTTTGAGCAATACAATAAAATCAGCTGATAATCAAGTAAATGCTAGTTATAAAGTGGTTTTTAAATGCTATTTTGTAACAAAAAGCAAATTTCATTCTTAGGTGGAGACTACAGGTTTTATAGGTGGAACTAACTATTATTATATAGGACCCGCTGGCGGCGACTGCCTGTAAAAATTTTTATGGATTTTTACTTTATTTGTGTTACACATTGTGTCACACTGTCATTATTTCTTTTCCTGCCACAGGCCCACAGGAAGAAATTCCAGTTGGAATATGTGGGTCCTATGTCTCTTGTTTTTATTTATGTGTTGTCCTTTGTGTTGTATGTGTGTACATAAACAATAAATAAATAAAATAATAAATAATTATTATATTACATTTGATGTTTTCTGTCATAAACTTGCACTAAGACTTTGACTGTTTCAGGATGAACAAGATAAAAAGAAAAAGAATGAAGAAATGTCTTCCCTTATGATGAAGGCAGCTTTCTGGATGTTCACGACTTGCTTTTTAATAATCTTGAGCACACTCTTTGTGCCCGGAGGAGAAAACAATCAAAATGAGGTATGGGATTGTCATAATAACTGTTACAGCATTCTGCCCGCGTTGTCAAAACCATAACAAACATAGACTACAAATTTCTTGAAAAATCACATCATTTTGGGATACTCTTGCAAAACTCATCAGGTAGTTTTTGAGTTTATACAGTGTCCAGTAAATACTGCACCATACTGTGAAAGAACATGTTGGGACTAATACCTGTCTAAGCAACCCAATATTCATTCAGTGTACTTAAATGTATGGTTTCAAAATTGTAAATAATAAATTAATTTTATAATAACTATCGTGAGACGTACTAAATTAACAAAAATCACGGGTTACTCATGTGAATATACTGAGAAAAGCTCTCAGTGAGCTGCGCGACCTCGCCGCGACCGCGTACGCTGCTCATGAGAAAGAACCCCTCTGTGGTTCGAAACTATTAGAGCTTTTCTCAGTATATACACGTGAGTAACCCATGATTTCAGTTAATAAATTAATTATTATCAATAAATTAGCGTCTAAAGATGTATTTATTAGCGTATCTTTTTAGGTAGGTATTGGTCCCAATTATCTCTCCTCACAGTATGGTGCTCTATTTACTGGACACTCTGTATATAGTCATTTAATAAAATGCAATTTGTGAATTCATATTCAGTTTCATATCATAATAATCTTGCTAGCAGCGGGAACACATGCTTATGAAATATGACTTCAGGATCTTCGGGATGATATACTTACATGGCATTTTAATAAAATTTCCATTCTGTATATAGTCATTTAATAAAATGCAATTTGTGAATTTATATTCAGTTTCATATCATAATAATCTTGCTAGCAGCGGGAACACATGCTTATGAAATATGACTTCAGGATCTTCGGGATGATATAGTTACATGGCATTTTTATAAAATTTCAGATGATACGCTATGTATCATGGAACGAGTTTGTCTACTCCATGCTGTCTAAGGGTGAGGTCGAGGAGTTGATAGTGAGACCTGACCTGGAAGTGGTCACAATCATCCTCCACGAAGGTGCCATCATCAAGGGAAAAAGAGTGAGTTCATTGACGGGCCCAAATAGGGTATTTTCCAACTAGTCATAATGTTATGTTTTATTTTATTTTTGGTAATGTAAAAACAATAATTTTATATGAATCGTGTATACGATTGTGAGTTGTGACGTTATATTTTTACAGTCCACCCATCGCGTGTTCCACATGAACGTGGGTGACATCCAGCGCTTTGAGGAGAAACTTCGGGATACTGAGAAGAATTTGGGGGTGAAAGAAGGTATGATATTTTTAATTATACTTAGGGAAGAGCAGTGTGAACTACTTTGTAAACGACTGTCTGATAGATCACAATTCTGCAGAGATAAATGATCTCTCTATATTTGTCGATAGTTCGTGAGGTAGCGAAAGGATAACATAAACATCACGCCCTTTAATCACTGTACAATGTAACACCTACTTTTCGTTATTTATGTTATGAGTCCCAAGTAATAAGGGGCGAGTCTATTGTCATATACCGAGCACAATTCCAGACTGCGTGTTACTACTGGGAAATATTTGAAAAAACATTAAATGATGGTGTAACAACTTTATGCCGTTATCCGGCTAGTGCTAAAAATCAGCGCCGGGGATTCGAGCCTTCGTGCTCGGGCCACAACATTAACCTGACCACTAGCCTTTAGCGCTGCGACGCTCTACAAACTTCTTTCTGTACTTGTACTATTTTGTTGTCATGTATATGTGCTCACAATAAACAGGTCTGTAGGGTTGCTGGTTGTGAAATGAAAGCCCCGGTGTTCTTGATGATTATTTATTCATTACCAACTTCACTGTTACATCAATTTACTATAAACTAATCAAGATAGTTGCAACCCTGGAGGGATGAAAAGGGCTGCGTGGCTATCGTCTTTCAGACCTCCCCTAGCTGGCTAATTCCAGAAGACCGCTAGGCTATCGTACTGGAGTTAGTCGTACTTAGGTTCAGAGAAGGCTGCTAGGCTACTGAACTCTGATCCTCTAGCTAGCAGAATGATGATTTGTTCGAAGACAACTCTGCTTATATAGGCGGATGGTTTGTATGTGTGCTCAATCTTCATAATAGTTGTTTGTAGTTGTGGTTGTTTTGGATATATTATACTAGATGGCGCTGGGTGTTCGTTACAGGTCTTCTTTCTTTCTTCTTATGTATAAATGCTCTTCTTTTCCTTTTCTTTGCAGGTGTTCGAGTGATATATGACAGAAACGGCAGCGTGGCCGGTAAGGTGATAACGACACTACTCATAGCAGCCGTCATCCTCTCCTTCCTTTACTCCACCAGGTCTATGAGGATGAACATTAACCTTGGAGGATTTGTGAGTACCCATTGGGAATTTCTTATCATCATTTTTATGTAATAACTATTACTAACTAATATTGATAATAACTTAATAAGAGCCCCGTTGTGTCTTGAAATTTATTGAAATTTTCTCCAATAAGTAAGTCATTATTTTTAATTAACCTTTTGAGTACCGTCATTATAGACACAATTAAAGAACAACAGGTTGCGGTCACCGGTGTCCTCGCGGTGTTTGAAAGTTTAATCATCATTTTTATAAACTATAAGAGGTGAAAGTAGGGGGGCAGTTTTACATTGATATAACTTTGCCATAAAGAGCAACTCGAAATTTTGTTCCTCTATGTGTAGCATTTTGACATAATATACTATATGTTCAATAGCTTCTCTAACTTTGTGACAATTTACCGTTATTTTATTTTCTTTCCTTATTACTCTTTCGTCCCACAGTGAGTCTCCCCATGGACACACGAACTATATATTTAAATAATCACATAGTTAAATATAACAAAACACTTACCATCTTACTAATATCATAAATGCGATAATAGGGTACTATCCTAAATTTTATCTTAATGTCCGTCTGGTACATTAATTTTGAACTTAAGACACGTATTTTTTCTTTTCACACAAAATTAAATACTTTCGATGATATATTGATTTGAAATATCGTGTGACGTCACAGCGTGTCACATTTTGTAGCTCGTTATGACGTAACTACCTCCCACTCCTAAACTTAGCGCCATTTTATCTAAGTATTGCAACTTAATACTAGAAAATAAAAAAGATACGTGTCTAATATTATTTCATTATCTAAATGGCGGATTAATTTTTTTTTTTTGAAAAATCGTTGCCGCACACTAGGATTTACTCCTGTGTCGTGGGTGCGTTTACAAACATACAATATCACATACACATGACACCCAGACCCGGAACAACAATCTGTGGATCACACAAAGAGTTGTTCCGTGCGGGAATCGAACCGACGATACGTTGCGCGGCAGCCAGTTGCCCAGCCACCGCGCCAACCGTGCAGACATTACTACTTAGATTTTTAATTTTGATACCTTGGAAACTACCCAATTGGGGAGTTTGTTTGTGTGTATGTATGTTGACGTAATGATTAAGTAAAAATGCCTCAATCACGTCAAACGGCTGAAGGGATAGAGATGAATTTTTAAACAGTGACAGGCTATGTTCTGAAATAACAGACAGGCAATTTTAAACAGTTGCTGCCGTTAGAAGCTAGTTTATTAATAAAATTTACCCTACAGAACCAGCTGGGTCGAGCAAAGTTCACTCTAGTGGACTCAATGAGCGGCCAGGGTAAGGGAGTCAAGTTCGAGGACGTGGCTGGTCTGCGGGAAGCGAAGGTTGAAGTCATGGAGTTCGTGGACTACCTCAAGAGACCCGAACATTACAAGAGCTTGGGAGCTAAGGTATAGTAGAAATTATTACAGTCCCCAGTACGTAATAAGTTTGTAGTGGTGGAAGTTCACAGGTATCACACTAATATTAATTAAATGTAAGTTTGTTTGTATGTTTGTTTGTCAATCACGCTGAAACTTCGTAAGTAATAGCAATAGCATATCACCTAAGTCAGCCCATACCCATGGGCCCATACCCATGGGCTGACTTAGGTGATATGCTATTACTTATTACCCCGATTAAATGCTTGCATGTGATAAAACAGGAATCATATTCTACGCAGACTACTCTTACTATTTTTTGTGGGACACGAGAGTAAACGAGGGCACGGATCACCTATTGGTAAGCAATTAGCGTTGCCAATGGACCTTTGTAACACCGGACGACTTATAATTACGGTGCTATGAGATTTTCGGATATTTGTAGCTGTGAAAAAACATATTTTTAAAAGAGTAACGATGGAGTTTCTTGCTCGTTGCTCTCGGCATGCCCCAACAGTGCGTTCCACCGAGTCTTCAGGGCGGTACTCACTGATGAAACTATACTTTGGAAACTAGCTTTAATGACAGACAGACTAACGGACAATTCAATTTTGACGTTTCAAAAGCGCCTAATTAAAGATTAATTGAAATAAATTATTTGACTTTGACTTTAAATCTTAATCATACGTTCGCACAAAACACAAGTGTCGTTTCACACCAGTTTTCATTGAGGCCCACTCCGGTCGAGCCGGCCTATTTGTACTGTAACATGGCTGCCCCTTTCCCCAAAGAAATCTTGTAAAGTCAAAGTCAAAGCATTTATTTCAATTAAACCATAATTCGGTACTTTTGAAACGTCAATAAAAACATAATAAATAATAGTCTGTCAGTCAGTCCGTCAGTGAAGCTAGGTGAAGCTAGGTGCTCATTCCAAAATGTAGATTCGAATGGAGAAGAACGAGCAAGAATCTCCATTCCTTACTCTTTTTAAAAAAGTATGTGATTCAATGTCTCTGATACATCTATACTAATATTATAAAGAGGAAAGATTTGTACCTATTTTTGTATGTTTGTAATGAATAGGTCCAAAAAGTACTGGGCCGATTTAAAAAATTCTTTCACCAATAGAATGCTACATTCTTCCAATTTGACATGGGCTACATTTCATTTTTAAAAAAAATTAGGGATCCTTGGTAAAATTTGAACAATGGTTACATTGTTCAAATCACTACAACAATACAAAATTTCCAAATATAAATAATTGTCTACCCCGTGCGAAGCCGGGACGGGCTGCTAGTATTACATATTCTAATACTGTACGTATATGTGAGAACAATGCAAACACACGCTTGACGAATTATAGGTACTAATTACAAACCTTACTAAAAATAAAAATAAATAGTGGAATCGTTTTTGCTACTTGCTCTCAGGTTCCTAAAGGCGCTCTGCTGTTGGGTCCTCCTGGTTGTGGCAAAACCCTGCTGGCGAAGGCGGTGGCGACCGAGGCGAACGTGCCATTCTTGTCTATGAATGGCTCCGAGTTCATAGAGATGATTGGCGGACTGGGCGCTGCGAGAGTCAGGTGAATGGCATATTGAGAGTGACTAAATTAGGACAAGAGGCTAAAGAGATGTTTTCTCTCGGAAAGATACATTGTTTACAATTTATTATTATCTTTACTTACAGTATCTAAAATAATGATGTCCACATTTATATTTGTTTTCATTCTAAACTTACTTTCTTACTTATCTAATTACCTACCTAATAATAATACCTAATACCTAATTTAAGCCAGAAATATTGATCTCACCAACTTGTATTTGGTGTGTATAATCTATACTAATATTATAAAGAGTTTATTTTTTTGTTTGAACGCGCTAATCTCCGAAACTACTGGTCCGATTTGAAAAATTATTTTTGTGTTGGTTAGCCCATTTACCGAGGATGGCTATAGGCTATAAAATATCACGCTACGATTAATAGGCCCGAGCAGAGCGAGTAAAACCGCACTGAAGTAGCTAGTCCTTTCATAAAGTCACAAATAAATAAACGAAATACCCATTTAATACCACCGTTTTATTTCCAGGGATCTTTTCAAAGAAGCTCTGTCCCGTGCACCCTGCATTATCTACATAGATGAGATGGATGCAGTGGGTCGGGCGAGGTCCTCGGGCCCTACATCCTTTGGACCTGGAGGTGGTGAGGGGGAACAGACCCTCAACCAACTGCTGGTGGAAATGGACGGCATGAAGAGCCGCGAGGGTGTTGTTGTTTTGGCCTCCACGAACAGAGCTGATGTGCTTGATAAGGTGATATTGAATTTTATGTTTTTGTTAGTTAACTAGTATCTTAACATTAAGTTTGCTTGAAAAAGAGACTATTAATGTACAAGGAAATAAAAATAAGTATTTTAAAAAAGTATTTTAATTTTTTATACTTTTCTTTAATACATACCGACCAATGTCTAGTGCAGTAGTTACGTAAAATAAGATAAACTTTTTTAGATTGCTTTAATAAATATTTTTATCTAAAATAATCCTTGAAGTGCAATGGAATTTCTGATGCCGAGAGATTTTAAATATATCCACGATTAACAACTTCTTTATAATACTTGTTTCATTTCATTTGTTCCAGGCATTGTTGCGTCCAGGTCGCTTCGACCGCCATATTCTGATTGACTTGCCCACACTGCTGGAGCGCGAAGAGATATTTAACAGACATCTCAAAAATATTGTCTTAGAGAAACTCCCTGACTATTACGTTAAAAGGTAAGACTATAATATTGTTATATTCATCACATCTACAGCTTATAAGTGGCCACTGCAACAAAGGCCTTTTCTCACGCGGAGAAGGTTTGAGCATCAGACCACTACAGATGGGGCCGAAAAGGGCTGATGCCGATACAGAGCTGCGGAGGACTTACCGGGTTGTCTGGGCTCCGGTTCGAAGTGCAGGAGTTGGAATTGGGTGGTTTTTAATCAGTAAGAGTCTGACACTCCCTCTCGCCTCACTCGGAAGTAATTGGATTTTCCCCGCTCAAAAAAAAAAGTATTGGTATTATAGAAAATCATACAGAGATGATGTACTAAGGGGCAACCCTATTGATGGACATTGGCTACAATTCCAGGGTCCGTAATATTCAATAGCTTTTTATCTGACTTAAGATTCATACCTGAATGCCCTTAGTCGACTAACTTAACTAATAACCAACATAAAACACATACACAGAATCTTCGTACAATTAATGTAGGTATGTCAAAATCGATCCTTATCCACAGATTTTAAATTAAGATAAGTTATTGACATACCAGTCTCCGTTACTTAACATAAATGTATGTTGTTGCTCCAAGTGAATCTATAATAATCTAGTCAAAGAAAAGAAAGTCGTGTTAGTAACAGTATTTATAACTCAAGAACTGCTGAATCGATTTGGCTGAAATTTGGTGGGGAGATAGCTTAGAACCAGGAGACGAACATAGGATTTTAATCCAAATATTTCCCGTTTCAGGCTAGCGTACTTGACGCCCGGGTTTAGCGGCGCAGACATTGCCAATGTATGCAACGAGGCGGCTCTACACGCGGCCAGACACAAACAGTCCATCGTACGTCACACCGACTTGGAGTACGCCGTCGAAAGAGTCGTGGGTATGTCATACAGTCATAGCATTACGTTTTTTTTATAGCATAAGCCGGTAAACGAGCAGACGGATCACCTGATGGTAAGCAATCGGCGCCGCCCATGGACACCCAAAACACTATGGCGTTACAAGTACGTTACCGGCGTTTTGGGAATTGGGAATTTGAGGATGGTGGAGGATTTGGGGATTCGGTAGACTAGGGAGGGGGGTAATTGAGCCTCCGGTAATCTCACTCACACGACGAAACACAACGCAAGCATTGTTTCACGTCGGTTTTCTGTGAGGCTGTGGTATCACTCCGGTCGAGCCGGCCCATTCGTGCCGAAGCATGGCTCTCCCACACTTAACATAACATTCTGCTTTCAAAACTGCAAGAAAGAACGTTATCTTATTTCTAAAGTCAACAATGTATTTGCGACTAGTTACCATCAGTCGACTGGCTGCTCGTTTCCCCTAAAAATAAGTATGGGGTCTTATAATTATGTTTTAATTTTAAGGTATTGTATAATCCTGTTAATGAGTATCTGGCATCGTAGCTTCCAATCGAATAAACGAGTTTACACCATCAGACCAGCTTTTCTATTACATGTAATTATGTAAAGCAGTTAGCGACATCTATTTGCTTCGATGCCGATTGATTTTTTTAGATCCTATAATTCTAAATATATTAATTACCTTCACGTGGCAGTAGTAACTTTAACCTACCTGATGGAGTATGGTCTAGATATACCTAATATAAATATGTAGAAGTATTCAACTCTAAAACAATCTAAAATTTAAACTGAATCGTTTTCTATGCTGTAACTTTTTGTGTATCATAACATTGTGTTCTGAACATTCACAGGTGGTACAGAGAAGCGTAGTCACGCAATGTCACCGGCAGAGAAGCGAGTGGTAGCGTACCACGAGGCAGGACATGCGCTCACGGGCTGGTTGCTGGAGCATACTGACGCACTGCTGAAGGTCACCATCGTACCTCGCACCAATATGGCACTCGGGTTCGCACAGTACACCACTTCTGATCAGAAACTTTATAACAAAGAGGAGGTAAGGATTGCTTTTTGATTTTAATAACCTTTTGCATAACATATTGTCACAGCATTTCAGAATTAAAGGGTAGATAGAGTTGCACTCGGAACCGCGGAGGACTTAACTGGTTGCCGGGGCTCGAAGTGCTGGAGTAGGAACGGGGTGGTGTTTAGTCAGTAAGAGTCTGACACTTCTTTCCGCCTCACCCGAGCGGGAGAAGACATTGAATGATTTTCTCCCTTCAAAAAAAAGATAGAGTTGCACAAGAACTAAGTAACACCAACTATCAATAGTTATGTTTTGAGTTTCATGTTGCAACTGCTGGATATAGGCCTTCCCCAATGAGCAGTCTTCTAGTAATTTATAATTAACCTATGTTATTTTGTCTAGTTGTTCGACCGTATGTGCATGGCGTTGGGAGGTCGCGCGGCCGAGGCGATCACCTTCAACTCAATCACCAGTGGAGCTCAGAACGACCTCGAGAAAGTCACTAAGATTGCATATGCTCAGGTACTATTACAATGCGGTATGACAACATCTTTATAAAGCTGTAAATTAAGTACTTGCAAACTAGTCAAATTCAATACTTTTTTTCGAACTGTCAAAACGACAGTTTTCTATGAAATTTTTACGACCTAGTGTATTGTGACGTCATGTTTTTTTAGCGTCAAACAGCATATTTATTTCTTAAAAAAATGCTGGAAAAATACTAAAGTTAAGTTATTCATAAAATCAATTAATGAAAGTGTGATTTTTAAAATATTTTATTGTATTGAACAGTCGAAAGAATTTATTTTTGATTAAGGCAAGTACCCATTTGTGGATTCAAGTAGATTAACTCGTTGGTAATCACACAATAGTCTCTTTCAATACTAGAGAAGTAGTAAGTGCGTGGCCTTTCGACGGCTGGGGAATTGTACTTACTGATACTGATTTTGTTTTTACTCAACCTTTCATTATATCAAACAGTGATGGCTTAGCTTTATAATTTCATTAGTCCACTCTTAATTATATTTCCCCAGATATAGTTTTAAGAGAAATACTTCCAAATCAGAGAGATCTACCCACACTAGCTTGCGTGTGCGCATCGCGTTGCAACAAACAAAACAGCATGCAAAAGTAATAGATACAATGACTAGCAGTTGCTAAAAACGTATTTTGCGACTGATTTTGTGACAAAGCGAATTAATTTGTGCTTTTTAATACAAATTGCGAATTTTGTTTTATTATGTTTTATGTGAATTTTATTTTGAATTATGCGAAAGATAATAATTATTGTTTTACACTTCTTTTTATTTCTTAACACAAACCATTTGTTACTTAGATTCGAGTATACGGCATGTCGAAAACTGTCGGTTTGGTGTCGTTCCCGGACCTGAAAGAGCACGGCAAAAGTCCCTACAGCAAGACCTTGAAGAATCTGATGGATTTGGAAGCGAGGAAACTTATCGGCGAAGCTTACTTCAGGACTGAGAAACTGCTCCGAGACAATAAGGACAAACTAATAATGGTCAGTAACAATAGACTGACATAAAATCACGCCTTTTATCCCCGAAGGGGTTGGCAGAGGTGCACATTATACCCTTATACAATGTTGCACCCACTTTTCACTATTTATGTTATGAGTCCCATATAATAGGGGGTGAGCCTATTGCCATATACCGGGCGCAATTCCAGACTCCGTGCTACTACTGAGAATATTTAAAAACCCACTAATACTTTGCCCGATCCGGGAATCGAACCCGAGACCCCTTGCCCGGCAGTCGCACTTACGACCACTCGACCAACGAGGCAATAGATTGAAAATACATAATTTGCGTAATTTATAGTTATCGATGTCGTGGTGGCCCGGGTTCGAAACCTACCAACAGCAAGAACCAATGTGACTTTTTCCGAGTTATATGTATTTTCTAAGATTATTTAGACACCACTGACAAACGGTGAAGGAAAACATCGTAGGAAAACCTTGACTTATAATTTGTAATTATAAGTTTGAAATCGCCAACCCGTATTGAGCAAGCGTGGTGATTAATGCTCACACCTTGACTTGATTCTGTTTGAAAAGAGGCTTTACTCAGCAGTGGGCATTTATAGGCTGTTGATGATGATGATAGTTATCGGCATTAGGGATGACGACGGGGTATGGAAATTAAAAATCTAATTAATCCGTCAGTTAGGTACTGAAAAAATATTAGACACGTATTTCGAATATATCGACGAAAGTATTAGTTTCTGTAAAAAAAAAATAAAAAATACGTGTGTAATATTTTAAAATAATCTACCAGATGGCCATTAAAATAAAAATTAGTCATCTACACTATTTGTATAACCCGGTATTTTTATCTTTGTGTTACGTATTAAATTGTAAGCATAGAGTAAGAGTATTTCCTACATGTATACAACCTGATTGTTTTGACATAAATTACACAGAATGCCGGTTTCATTACTGAGTGCCAAGCACGAATAACTATCGCGCGTTCGGCGCTCTGATTGGTCGGCTAAAGTGAACCGACCAATCAGAACGCTTAACTCGGTCGATACTGTTACGATACAAATGCGATAGTTATTCGTGCTTGGCCCTCAGTATTATGTAATGTGATATTGTCTTGAAATGTCTTTTTATATACATTTTTTAATATACACTAATTTACTAACAGTTGGCCGAAGAACTATTGGAAAAGGAGACTCTGAACTTCAAAGATGTGCAACGTATCCTCGGACCGACGCCGTTCCCACATAAGAAGTTCATTGACCCCGTGGAGTTTGAGACGAACCTCAAGAATTTGGAGAACGCGGCGATACCCGACACTACGCCCGTCGGGGCTCCGTCAACGAAGCCCGAAGGCCCCCCGATATAACTGTACATAAAGTAGATTGTTTGTTGTAAGTTACAGAAATTATATTAAATCATGTTAGTTAGATAATTGCGTTTTATTCTTTTTTACATCTCTTCTATATCTATAATAAAACTGTAGAAAAGTGCTGTCTGTACATTGAAAATAAAAATAAAAAAAATAGCAGGGTTTATTGTTGTGTCGATGTCGAACCCAAAAATGGTATTACCTTTTTTTTGTCTGTGTGTCTGTTTGTCTGTTCACGCTAATCTCAGAAACGGCTGATCCGAATTGTACGCGGTTTTCACGAATATATTGTGGTATGCTTCAGTTATGCTTTAGTGTTTGTTTCATGTCAATCGGTTCATAAATAAAAAAGTTATGTCAAATTAAAGAATCACATCGTGAGTATATATTTAAAAAAAAAACGCTGCTCATAGTCACTATTCCACGCGAACGAAGTTGCGGGCACAGCTAGTTTTCTACATATATGTTGAAATGAATAATAGTCTTGCTTAATTTTTGTATGACTTTATCGACATTTACTAATTTTAATGTTATTTTATATTATACTGCAGGTAGTTCAGATACTCAATGAATAGTTTAATAATCATAATTGGCATTGCTTTTATTAATACTCAGACTGATAAGCTTTGCGTGAATAAAATAAGTTAAAGGTAATCAAGACTGTTCCTAACAATAGAGGGACGACATATATACGTTTCTTTTTGAAGCGACCATGTAATTTTTCCTAATTTATCCTACTCGCTATACACGGGATGAAGCTTGCAAAGCGACTGTTTTGTTTGTTTGTTTTGTTTTTATCATAACAACCTTTTATTTAAGGGGAATTTGTTACTGCACCCCTATTTAGAAATTCATGCAAACTAAATTTCTCCACTAATAACCCACTGCATATCAAAAAAAATAAAAAATAAACCGTAACAAAAAATACTGATTTGCACACTAATTGTTCAATATTAGGTTAGGTTAGGTTTGTTTTATTTTTGTTGTTTTTATATATTTTGTTGCACTCGAAGAGTTATTAGATATACTTTTAGTTAAAAGATAGTCATTCAGTAAAACAGTTAAGCTTTAAAGATCTAACAGTATAGTATAATTGATTTATTTGATGAGCAAATTTATTGTGCAATTTAGTATTTTTGGTGGTAATTTCGAATATTTTGATTGAAAAAAGGGAATTTACAGTTAAAGTATTAAATACCACCCTTTATTTAATTTGAAATGCATGTATGTGTGTTTCAAGTAGAATTTTGCAACTAAGTTCAAGTGTAGGAGAGCCATGCTTCGGCATGAATGGGCCGGCTCGACCGGAGTGATACCACGGCCTCACAGAAAACCGACGTGAAGCAACGCTTGCGTTGTGTTTCGTCGTGTGAGTGAGGTTACCGGAGGCCCAATTACCCTCCTCTTCCCCAATCTCCTCAATTCCTGAATCCCCAACGATCCTCAAACTCCTAATCCCCAAAAAGCCAGTAACGCTTCTGGTGTTCCAGGTGTTCATGGGCGACGCCGATTGCTTACCATCAGGTGATCCGTCTGCTCGTTTACCGGCTTATGCCATAAAAAACTACAATTTGAAGCAGATTTATCTTTAACCAACTTTATATACCTACACGTTTGGTTTGTATAAATTAAGAAATGCTTAGTTCAAAAGCTATAGGTGTACCGCGTACCTAAGGCTTCCTTCACACCAAACTTATTTTCCGCCGCTGACTCAGACTGTGAGCGCGAGTTACTCGATATGGTATATTTTAACATTTTGTTTACACTGAACCGACTATACTGTAGTACGTAGTGCATTGTCGACAGTGAGCATACTCAGTTAGTGACGGATAATACCATTGATGTGAACGATGCCTAAGGCGAACGATGTATTTTATAATTTGACTAAAAAATCGCGGGTTACTCATGGGAAAATACTATGAACTCAGGAAGATGTGCGACATCGCTGCGGCGCACGCTGCTCATGAGGAAGAACCGCCGTGTGGTTCAAAACTAGTAGAGCTTTTCTCAGTATATTCAAGTGAGTAACCCGTGATTTTTAGTAAGTTTTTATAATTTGATTTTATTGTCAATATTTTTCAAGTTGGTTTTAGATATTTACAAATCAGGGCTGCTATACGTACATCCACTGGTTTAAACCATCTTAGCGTGAACCGAAGTTTATTTATGTATTAAGATATTAGCTGCTGCGGCCGAGAGGTCGCAAGTGCGACTGCCGGGCAAGGGGCCTCGGGTTTGATTAAAAAAAAACAGTAATAGCACGAAATCTGGAATTGTGCCCGGTATATGGCAATAGGCTCACCCCCTATTACATGGGACTCGTATCATAAATAGTGAAAAGTGGATGTTACATTGTACAGTGGCATAATGTGCACCTCTGTTATGTTATGATATTAGCTTCTCCCAGCGACATCTTCCGCGTGCCCGTGGAATAAAAGTAGCAAGTCCATAGTATCAGCTAGTTCTAACAGCAACCAATGCATGATGGGTATTTGATAAGGAGTGTAGAATAAAACATGATGGTCGGTCACATATATTTTATTTCACATCAAAAGGGTAGGACACATTGAGTAAACATCGATCCTCGACAATAGTAAGTGATAGTACATAGAGTTACAACAGTATAGTACTAAAACACTACCAATATTCCAATACATACATTTTATATAGATATATATATATTCTCCATACACGTTCACCTACTGAATATTAATATCAAATTAATAACAGTCTTCATTATGTAATGAAACGTACATACAAGTCATTAGTTACTCGTCCCTTATCTATACCTACTGTAAAAGTTGTAAATTCGAAAAGGGTTACACCTGCTTTTCCAAAATTCCAGTTTTATAAAATGTAAACCTCATTTCAGCAAGCTATAAATGAGAAAAAGAAAATGAAATAAAAAGAAAACAAATGAAAAAAAAAACATTTATTTCGAAAACATTTTTTAAGTACAACATCCATAGTTCAAAAAATAGTTTAACTTAAAGAGTTGTTACAATAATTTGCGCAGCGCATTGTTGTGCATAATTTGTGTCGCTGTTAATACTATTTTAGCCAAACTGCGTTGGTGCTGCTGGTTTATAAGTACTGACTTACTAAACAAGTCAGGTAAAAGAATAAAATGATTCGTTTACTTAATTACTTTGTGTTAGTATCGGATTAACATGTAATATTGAGCTATGTTTTATAGAATTGTGTGAACAAATTGCGTCTCAATCCATACGACGGAGACTTGTAGCATAAAGCAGGGTTTCCAGCCAACGCGACTAATTATAAGACAGGATAATTATTATACTTGTGACTACTGACATACTGACACCTACTTTAACAATATTGTTGTCATAATACTAAAAAAAACATTTATTTTTACTCTCTAAAGTTACGATATTATTTTGTAAAAGATACAAGAAACATCACAATCGAGAAATGTAACTACAACATCACACTTAAATACATACATTTGTGATGATAATAATATTGTGATGTTTTCGATATTCGTATAATTCTACTTTCAAGATATTGTCGCCTAATGGAACCCTACTTTACAATGAAGAATTAGTAAGTGTTTATAGTTAGACCACAGAATGCAACTGTACAGGTGTTGTTATACCGTGACATCTATTTAGTTATCTGCGGCAAAATAACTTGCCATAAGGAGTACTTTTAATGTATAAAGTAATAACGAAATAAAGACGTACTTAATTTTTTTTTATTAAAAAAAACTTTGAAGTACACATATGAAACACTAGACGTAAATTTGTGAGCACTATTTGCATCGCACGTGCCAACTGATGAGTCTCCTCTTCAAGACTTACACGGCGTGATGTTTTGATAATGTACTATGAGATAGTATGCGCTTACGAAATTTGCATTTTATAACTACTGCATTACCAAGATAGAACAATTTTACTTCAGGACGAAAACGAAATAGACTTCACGGCATATTTTCGTAATTTGTTCGTCCAAGAGCTAAACAACAGAGCATTAAAAGAGTAATTCTACATTTTATCGCCTTTAAAACTTCCTGTGATAGCCAAAAATATTCAAAAACTTGCCAGATCACTCCAGACTTTCTCAAGTAACAAATTTCATTTTAATCAATAACTATAGCATTATGTGATGGTAAGCTGACTACTGTGGCCGAACTATAAACATGTCGAGGTTCGGGTAAAGCAGGACCACGACACCGTGCCTAAAGGGAAACAGGACATTTATCTATTGTACATACAATTAACTTTAAAACATTAACTAAGAAATTGTGACATCATAGCCGTGCCCGCAGAACACGACACAATTCGTTAAAATTATCTAAACGATTATTATGAGACAGAACAGTGAGAGATAGGCTCGAGGATTTACGTCTAATCGGACAAGGGGTTGCCCTCATCAGGCGCTGCGGTAAACCTCGATGGCCTCTACTAAACACACATTATGCAGGCGTTCGCCCGATATCAACGAGAAATATAGACTAGTTACAAGTTTCCTACCGCTGCTTACACAGCAGACTCATGAGGCAATATATATTATTATGTTTATATATAGTGTTGTGCATTCAAGTATGAAGGAAAAGACCCCTTGTATAATACTAGTGAAGTTAATATTGAGCACATACTTTCCTATTTACAAATAGTTTAGGTACATAGACATTGAGAAACAAGACCAGAAATATGTCCCGCTGTCGTCACGTTTCGGACATCTTCTAATTACTTGCTACTTAATTTACGAAATGTGGAACTATATTATGAAAATTGCACCTCACTGTCGCCGGGCGCCGGACGACGAGGGCAGCCAATCATTACGAATTACTATCTAGGTACATATTTATTTACATATTTAACGTGTCATGATTTTTATTAAAAGTTTAACTACCATTGTTGTACTTATCTGTGTAGGTACTCTGCATAATTATGCTTCATTATACATATTAAAGATACGACAGACAGACGTGTCACAGCGGGCGTGGCAGTAAACTATTGAACGAAATAAGATCAACTCGTATATTAATGCTAACACATCTTAATAGCTAACATTTACATGAAATTACGAAAGAATTAATGTATTTATTTGTAGAGAGAACTAGGATCTCATATGGATACTAACTACACATTAAATCTGATCGTATTTTAATGTCGATTTTGTCAATTTCATCATTTCCTATTTGGATCCTGGCTTCTCCACATTGAACGTATACCACTCCATCGATATATCTACCCGGGACATAACCACATAATAAATAACAGATTAACATTTAGCGTAACACCGTCCTTAACATTTACAATGTAATTACAAAGCTTTAGTTCACTAGAGGTCCACTATAGAAACGTATAAGGAACATTCCCAATGTGGTACGCATAGCAGGGACCACAAATACAAATGTTTATACTAAAATATCCATTCATTGAAAATATCTGAGCGCTCCTCTGCTCTAAACTTATACCTTCACCCTTCGATACAAGACTCGATCAGTATTATAAGACAAATACGTCCTGAGCGTACCTCTTAGAATCACGTATCATTTCATCTTGCAGCGATCCAGCGCTGCTTCACTGTCCGATTCCAGTTTGATGATAAGTGAGCTTTACTGTGTTTGCTCCACGTCAACTGCATGATAAATATTAAACCAAGCATAGGCATATAGCACGACCTCTAGTGACCACCAGCTGTACGGGCCTGCCGCTACATACACCAACATCAATTAATTTAAATAATCATGACACTGTTTGAACATAAGTAAACCATTGTTGGTCAAGCAACATATTACAAAATAAATCTGTACAGGCCCGATTTGTGACAGCACACGCTTCTGTGCCAAATAAGACGTGGACAACCATGAAAGATCTTTGGAACAAATATTAACTAAAAATATTATCTAAAAATAATTCCGAACAAAGAAAATTCACTGTCGAATATAGCCTTAATATGACTTAACAATAATATCTTTAAAAGAAACACAATATACAAATCAAAAATATTGAATACTTTAGTAAATGAAATATTTCACAAATTGTCCACACCACGCCCCGTTTCTGATGGTCAAACATTGAACATTTTTACATAATACAATATACAATTTGCAATATATTACTAAAGATAACAGTGGGGTACTGAAAGCTAGAGGAATCGTCCGCGACACCTGGCCCTAGCTACATAGACTATGATATAAGAGCGACCATCAGAAACGGTCCGAACGCCGTCTCCATATAATACTGAACATTTTCTATCCACACTACCCCTCAACTCCCGCGCGTGTCACGCCCAAAAAGAGCGACTACCCCTTTCTTCCCATCTTACAAACTACTAAGTACCTTAATACTATGACTATATAACTTTTGAAATAATAAAAGTTACTGTAATGAGACTCTAATCCTTTAAACATAAAATTTATATTCCCAATCATTTCACAAATAGCGTAATTAATGTATTTTTGGTATAAACATAATGTGTGTACTTTTATAAATTAGGCGAAATATAAATTCTGTTCACACTTAAAGCAAGATAGTAGTTAACCTATGAGACGATTATTATATCGAAATCAATCTACTTTACAACTACGTTTTAAAAATAACATAATTAATTACATAGAAATTATTTGTACTGCGGTTTTGCAAAATAATGTTCGTATTTAGATAATACATAGTATGGGACAGTGATAATATTATTATGTTTATGATTGGGTTTTCCTGCATTCGGTCGCATTACGAACTGAATGTATTTCGTGATGAAATCGTTCTCTATTTACACATCTTTATACACAATACTCGTTATATATAGATGATTAGTCAAGTTATACCTAAATTCTTCAAATTTTCTAATATAATGTAATGGGTGAGAGAATATTTGGTACACAAATACCATATTTGAGCTACGAGACATCTACTTGTGATGTTCACTTTCCATTGCGCGTATTGTTTAGCCGTATATTTATAATGTTATTTTAAAGGCGCAATGGAAGGGGAATTTGTCAATTTCCTATCAATACTATTAGAACATTTAAATCTGTATTTTTAAGATATCTTCACTTAATCCATACTGTGTACAATTACATTTAATTCGTGATATTTTTAATGTCCAAGATTTTATAACTACTAAGCGTACAGACAATGCTTACACATATGTTCAGTAGACGTTAGCGCCATCTGTGGGTGAAGAAGTTCCAGTTTGGTACACTCACTACGCGAGGGGTGCGACCGACACATTCCTTATCAGTTATCACACTTCACTTTAAATCACAGACCGATGGATTCAATCCCCTACGGCCACACGTCCTTTGCTAGAACTATGTATTTACAACACAAACCACACGGATGGTGGGTAAAGCTGCAGAGATCGTCTAAATAGAAGATGCACGGTGACGTGATACGAATGGCAGGTTGATTAGTATGTTCGTATCATCGTCATCGTCATCAACATCATCGTCAAAGTCATCGTTTTGATCGTCCGAATTGTCGAAAATCAAATTTTCATGAAATTGGCTAGTATAGTCATTGTCGAACGAGCTGTCATCGTCCAGTTCTTCATCGTCGGCATCGTAATTATTAAACGATAGATCCGAATAATCGTCCTCCAAGGAATCTTGTGAATGAGCCCCTCTGGGCTCAAGCGAATATTATGTGTCCTCAGCATTAGTATGACGACACACCTGGAAACATTGCACCACTGTTATTAAATGAGGCGAGGCAGCTGGTCACTGTGGGATCCAAGTCAGATTGTTCCTAATATACATATTATTTCTCATACAAGTACTCTCATAAGTGATTTTATTTATGTGCGTCCAAGCCGCGTTCGTGCTATTTTTCTACTTTTAAATTTACAGTTATAAATGATTAACAAGAAATGCATGTACGTAATTATCATTGCTGGTATGTAATTAGTTGTCAATAATTGAAATAAAACCTATGCCTGCTAAAGTAATATGAAACGGACATGCAAAAATAAATATAAAAAGCCGCTAAGCTATCGAGCACCTGTCATCACCTCAACGGGAAGTGAGCTCCGGCGGGGAAATTTTTGTAGCCGGCGTTCCTGTATACTGAGCGTGGCTTTTGCGAGCCACTGCTGACAACTCACTATGGGGCTCGGTTTCCTGCGACCCCCATTCACGCTGTGCCGCGGCGAGCCGAGCGACGCCAGCCCCCGCAGCTCCGAGGGCGCCACCGGTAACGGCGCAGACCCTCGGCGTCTCGTCCAAGATTCCTTCTCTGAGAAGGTACGATGAACAAATTGAGGAAACACTGGTGGAACCTCACGTACTTTCCTTTCCTTCGGGGCTGTAACATTTATAAAGACTATACTTATAGTTTTACCTATACACACTCACACTAAGTTATACTGAGATAATATGTATGTACTAATAATTTGGAAATTACCTAACCTGAAAGTTATAAATAATTATTGTAATAAATAACTTACTAAATGGAAAAACGTCTGCAGGCATAGATTTCCTCCGCCGCTGCAGCAGCGGGTCTGACTCAAGGGGCGGCAGTGGCATCGATGCCAAATTATCACGTAGTTGACTTCCTACCGTGGTGGATTCTTTCTTGCTTGGCTTTTGAGGTTCCGAATTTTCTTTTTGTAATCGCGGTGGTTCTGATGCTTCTGCACTGGATTCGGAACTCTCTTCAGTATCAGTCTTTTTAATATCTCTCACAACTAATTGGTGCGCTTTTGCGTCTCTCTGGGATGGTCCTTGATCAAATTGAAGAAAATCTGGTCTTACCCGCGTCAAGAATATACTATCCTCATTACTCGTATGAATAGGTCGCGACGCCAGAGAATGTTCTCGAGATGTTGACTCTAGGGGTGGGAACGTTTGCTGGCGAACCAACTTCCAGGAGCCACCTTCTTTAAGCACTGTGTTTAGGCGTGTGGCTTGCACAGGCGTGGTTATAGAGGCTATCGATGAATCGGGTAGAAGTTTCTCCGAGCTCAGGACCCTCTCTGATGGTTCCTGCTGATGTTCGCAATGTCCGCGCACGCTGAGCTGCGAGTGTAAGGACGGCTCACTGGGCGCGGGGCTGCGGCTGCAGCGAGGACGAGGTTCAGCCAGCGATGAAGCGCGGCTCTTTTCCCTTTCGCGATTTTTAAATTTACTGTCCTGGAACACATTCAGCGGCACCGAGAACCGCCGCAATTGCTCCTTGAACGCATTGTGCCTCACGGGATTAAGGGAGCACCTGCGCGGCGGCAGCAGTAACTCCGAGCTGTCCGACATGTTGGTATCTGAACCTGTGTCTAGGTCATCGTCCGCTGCATCTGCGTCAGATATTTCAGTGCGAGTCTCCTGGGCCTGCTCTTCCAAAACCAGTGTCTCCCACTTTTGTTGGTTGAAAAGCAGGTTGTTCAGCATTTGCGACGACAGGTCGTTCTGCAGAAACCTATGCCACTCGCTGATCAGTGGCGTTACTACAAATTTAAAAAATCCTGAAAATCACAACAAGTTTATAATTAGCAGTTGCAAATTAGTGCAGATTTTCTTGGCGTATCGAACTAGTTGTTTATTACCTGTCTGAATTTTCGGGATAGACGTTGTGTGTCTATCACATAGGGCCGTCACCGGCAGGTTCAATTTTCTTTCGTAATCGCCTTGGCGGAAGAATTCTTCGCAAACTTTGAGGCTCCATTTCCTGCTGATCTCCCATGGGCGACAAGGATTAGAAATGTCAGCGCATTTCAGAGCAATCTGGAGAACTAAGTGGCGATGCTCCTGCTTTCGCATATCCAGGGTGTTCATGTCTAAGTGGTTCTGCAAAGAGACAGATTAAATGTGTTTAATGAACATGTAATGTGTGTACACTAAAGAATATTTATTCAAATATCCGTTATAATATAACCGCTGATATCTCGAAGTTCAATAAATCAACTAAGCATGGTAACTCAGAGAAAGGCACGCTACAAATAAACTAAAAGAAAAAATGATAAGTTTTATTAAGTAAACATTTAAAGATGGTAGAATAAGTAGCAAATGGAGGTTATTAGTTTATTGGGGGCATGCAATATTGTGCCATTTTACTGCAGCGCCGTTGAGTGGGAGCTTAACATTTTATTGCGTTGCTTGCAGAATTTTTATTTATAAAGATTTTCTTCATTGCGAATGTTTAATCGACTTACATTTTTATGCATTGCATCAAGTAATACTATTTTATTTTTCTTTAAAAAACGTTGCCTCACACTAGGATTTTTTCTAGTGTCGTGTGTGCGTTTACAAACATACAAGTTCACATACACAATGACACTCAGACCCGGAATTTGTGTATCACGCAGTGTTGTTCTGTGCGGGAATCGAACCCGCGACACGTTGCACGGCAGCCGGTTGCCCAGCCACCGCATCAACCGTGCAGTGGCTGGGCAGTGTTACCTAATGATAGTGTTATTTGGGAAATATTGCATACATTACATATACATTAAATAAGCCATTTTTTGTCTACGATTTCGTTTATATTTTTTTTTGATAAGCACTTTAGTTAGACTCGACATAGGTATCAAGTTATAAACTTGTCATTTTGAATAAACTAAGGTGACAAAAATATTTAAAAAGGAAATATGAGGAACAAGTTTTCAGCAGGTCCTTCGTTCACACATAGTATGTAGTTTTGTATTATTTACTTTAATTAAAACTGTGCTAATAATCGGAAATATGTTTCAGTAGCAATATTGTGCTAAAACATTATCTTGTTTACGAAAATCAGAATTATTTTAGTTATCCTTGAAATGTAGTGCATCATACGAATGTTTCCGATTTACGAAGACGACTTTAGGGCCATCATTAACTGATTTATTGAATTATGTATTTGATTAAATTAATATTAGTATCTAGGAGTAACTAGAGTGCTATTATTTGCCTATGTGAGCACATTATATACTGTAAAATAATGACGAAATATAGGCAAGTTTCTAGTTACATTTTCAGATTTGACCACGTAGTTTTTTTAAGGGGGGAATATCATCGAATGACTGTTCCCTCCTGGGTGAGGCCGGAGGGAGTGTCAGACTCTTACTGGCTAAAAACAACCCCGTTCCTTCTCCTGCGCTTCGAGCCGGAGCCTCGGTAACCCGTTAGGTTCTCCGCGACTTGACCAAGTAGTAAGGATGTGTTATATAGGAGAAAACTGAATTTATTTCAATTACTTATTCAAAAGAGGCACATTCCAATTGCAGAACATACACTCTGATTCTGCCTACCTGTCCGTTAGTGTCAATAGGTTAAGTAACTACAAAATAAGAAGTCGTTTTAAACAGTTAAACAGTCGATAAGAAGTCTTTCTTGTTTTTGATGTAATAATATTTCGGTATAAAAGTATCTACTAAGCGTAATAATCGTAAATAATACATTCGCAGAGTGCACACATGTGTAGGACGCGGCTGTTTATGCCCGTAAACAACGTGTTTTATGATACAAGTCAATGCGCTGACAAAAATTAGGGTTTACTAATGAACGGGCAACAGGTGCACTCGTAGATTTAGTACTATTGAGCCATTGGATATTTAGATCATTGATGCGAATCCAATATTATATATTTATATTTAGGACGTCGCATCTGGCCAAACTAATTCAGCTAGGTCTGTCAATGAACCAAATTTTAAATATAGTTATTGACTCTGGTCTAGAGTGCACGTGTTTCATTTAGAAACTTTGATATCTTAAAATAGAGTGTTGTTTATTTATAGTTTATTTGTCGAGCTTTCTGTTTATTTTAGTTTATTATGGAAGTGTGGTTTGAGCTAGGTAAAGGGTACTATATGAAAATACTTCTTGAAATTAATGATTAAGTATTTCATAATTCATCCTTAGGTATAAAAACATCTAATCTTTATATATATAATTCTTCTGTGAGTGTGTATGTCACTGAACTTCTCTCAAACGACTGGACGGATTTTGATGAAATTTTTTGTGTGTGTTCAAGGGGATCTGGGAATGGTTTAGATTCACAAATCAACCCGGCAGATGGCGCTGCAGACGATGTTTAAGTTGGTTATCTTAAACGGCTGAACTAATTTGAATGAATTTTTGTTCATACAAGTGGATATGCAGGAAAACGTCTGTTGGGTCTGCTAGTATAAGTATATAGTAAGCCTTTACATTTGGACCACACAGTTCAGTTTTACGGGAGAAGCTGTGGTATCTATGTATATCTTATTTCGGGTTGAAAACAGATTACGTGTCAAAACAAGTATGTTTTGAGAATTAGACAATGCATACAAGGGCCCACAGAGTACCTATGGGTTTGGCAACGAAATTGCGGTCGACTTAGACCTGTACTTAGACCCATCAGTATGATAAAAACAACTTGAGCCGCTTATCAATATTTCTAAGGCGTCCGCGCCGGCGCCGGCCGAGGTAGGCGTAAGCGCATAGCCGTTGCCCAATGCTTGCAAAATTGTTATCTTTATTTAACGGCGTGTAAATGAAATGCTCACGCTTTGACCCACTGTGTGGGAGAGATCTAACACTTCGCCTCGTACCAGACGATTTTTACATTTTCTTTAGAGGAACCGAGTTTCAAGGTAACAATATAATACCTATCTACTTATAGTTTTGTTCCTTTTTAGTTGTTTAAGGTTCTAACGCAAAATCTAAAAAAAATAAGAAGGTTTTTGTTATGAGAATTGGATGCAGACAGTGTAGGACGATACTCAATAGTATCGATATGATTTAATGCTCTCTATTCCGAAATAGCATTGAGATGCATCGAACCATAATTTGCAACCGAACGACGATGAGACGATTCAAACGATTCCCAACTAGCAGGGAATCGAATCAACTAAATATCATTCGAAGGCGGTGTATATAAGTAGGTACCTATGTGATTTATGTGTTTCCTAAAGACGTGGCGACGGCAACGTGCACCGATGTATGGGAGCATCGTATATTGTACGTTACCCACTTTCGCTTAAGCATCACCTGCGTCACTATTAGCATGTGGAATGAGAAGGTGCACTGATACCTTTGTTCTAAATAATTATATTGATACTTCTCAATAATGTAAAGGCGAAAACAGAGTTAAGATCGACAGTTAAAAATATAGGGTAATGTACTGTGAAAATTCTATTTAGGGCTGTTCTAATTCAGCAAAATAATTACGAAGCTGTTTGATGATCTCTAGCAAAGGAAACTAAGGATCTATTTTAACTTCACGCTACAAAATTATCAGCGTTTCCCCAACACGTAATTCCACACGACATCAAACGCAGTGGTCCTACCGCGCAATAATTTTAGCGTTTGTACGAAGTAGCGTTGCGTAACGCATTTAAATATATTTTACTACGAGTCAGTCCTGTCGGAGTACGTGAGTATGACGTACGAGCTGTTACTACACAGCCGATATAGCAACACATACGTTTGATTAATTAAATCATTATTGCTAGCCATTCAAACATTATCGTCCCGTTTTACGTTTCGACCAGTTACTCTTACAACCTCTGCTGGCGTTCTATGGATTATAGCGTGATGTTTCATGTCTTATAGCCTTCCTCGATAAATGGAGTGGTCGACAAAGAAAGAAATTTTCCAGAAATAAATCAACGAAGCAAGCAAGCAAACAAACAAAGAAACAGACTCTTCAGTATTCTACTGTTGAGTATAGGTTTCAATTAACGAATTGAAACCTATACTATATATAGTATATAGAAACCTATACTATATATAGTATATAGAAACCCCTATACTATATAGAGTACTACCGTTGTAGTACAAGGTGTAAGTTAAGCTTGCATTTAAGTCATTTGTTACTACCTGGTGTAAAGGACTGTATAATATTTCAACGTGGGTGGTCATACGAGAGTATCGGCATACTGTCAGCTGCAGAGATTCACATTTACGTTGACAAGGAAATATACGATATGTACTTCATACCTAGGCTTCGTATGAAAGCTTAGTCTCCAAACTATCCTCTTGCATATTGCCCATCAATATCGTTCATTGTTTTCCTCGTTGGAGCTCGGTGTGACGGATTACACAAACGGTGTAAGGTCTGCAGGCTCGAGGGGATTTTCGTAAATCAATTAATATTGAAAGTTGAAACTATAGTCGCGTAGGCTTTGATTTTCAATTAAAGGCAAAGATCATAGTGTTTTCTATGAGCTTATAAAATAGAGCAAAGTTATTCTAGTATTCAGAAGTGGATACTAAAGAGCAATATTTATAATTCTGTATCAATTTTGTAGGTTCTCTTGAGTAGATAAGGCTGTGGTTGAATTATCTAATTTCCTGTCTAGCAAAAACGCCACAAGTGATCTAAGGAAGATCGAAAATTGAAATTAATTAGGTCCGATATACCTAATTTAAATATATTATTTTAAAAGTATATAAAATGAAGACCCCATCTACGTCGACAAGGTGGCATTCTGCGGTCATCCCTCACCCTTATGGAATAAATCATATAAATCTATTCAGTTTAAATTACTGTTAAACTCTTTGGATACACGTACTAAGTTAGATTTTGAAGTTTGTAGTAAACTGTAGCTTATACATATAATTTGTAACATTTCATTTTTGTAGGTAATAATCACAAGTCCTACGTAGAACAATATTAAAGACTATGTTTGTAGACGTTGGAGTTAAGTAGAAATATGTGTGAAAGAACCAGACTTCCAAGTTGAAGTGGCTATATTTAGTCACATTGTTCGAAGAACTGACTGATGAGATAGCCATCAAAAAATATTTGACCCATATTTAGCAGCAGCAAAGTGCAGCAATAAAAACAAAGCCGTAAAAAGATTTAAATAAAGTCCTAATCTGAATGATAA